AATTGGTGATATGCCATAGATGGATGGAGAACCTTCTGAAATGAATTCTTATCGGTTTGGCTGAGAATGTTCTCAAAAGCAGCCCAAAAGCTATATAAACCCTGTTTATATAAAACTTGTCTGGACACAGAGTAGCAGTCGATCGCGAGTATCTTGAGTAGTGTCTCGTAGTCTATCAAATTGATCATCAGTCTATTGTCGAGTTGGTCATTGACTGTATATCGAGTTGGTGCATTGTTGAGGCTATCAAGTGCATCACAAGTTGTGTCGTGGAGAGTACATAGAATTCCAAGACCGACTGAACCGAGTAAGGAGCTGTGCTCTCATGCTTAAAATGCTCTCATGCTTAGTTGCCGTGAAACTGTGTTCATCATTATAATCTGAAGATTGTGTTGCTGATTGTTTCAGCGTATTTGTCATAGCTTTTCGATGACTCTAAATGTGTTTTTGGAGCTGTCCTGAGTAATACTGGCTAATAAATTGTGTTTTCATTCTTCATCAAGTAATGTCGACAGTCACTCCAAATCCGGAAACCTGTAAGAAATGCAACAACTGGTGTCAGGAGTGGGGTTTGTGAGTGAATGCCAGTGACCCCCTACAGGAGAATGCCATGGCAGAGGAAATAAAGTTGACAGACTTCTTAGCAGCTGTAAAAGCTGGACTGAAAGAGGTGAAGGCTGAAATAAAAGCCAGATATGACGAGATAAAAGTTGGTTGTGAAGAGATGTAGGCTAAGATCAAAGTCGGATATGATGAGATAAAAGCTGGATATGAAGAGATTAGGGCTGAGATGAAAGCTGGACTGGAAGAGATGAAAGCCAGATGAGAAGAGAATGAAAATTGGATGAGAAGATATGAAAGTTGGCCAAGAAAAGCTGTGAGAGCAACTCCGATAGATTAAAGTGGAGCTTACAAAAGAAATTAGAGCTATAAAATAAGATGTGCAAATAACAGATGTGGTGTCTAAAGGATCAGAGGATGAAGAAATGAAGGAAGTAGCTGGTGAAATGTCTGAGAAAGGATAAAGAAATGATGGATAAAACATCTAATGATATTAAGGGGGGAAAAAAGAGAACATGAAGAAATAAAAGACGGGAAAGAAAATTTTGATCCTGAAGCGGAAGAAAGTGAAAATGCAACTGCTAAGTTGGTAGAAACTGATAGTGGAGTTACGAAGTCACAGTCAGCAACTATTGAACCATCTGAAAATGTATGTGATACTGAGATGGAAGCAGCTAATGTATAGCTTATGCAGAGCACTACAGTATTGCAAGAAGATTCACCCACTTCACAGCCTGAGTGTGTGTTTCCTAATACAAGTTGTACAGACACCAACTCATTTCTAAACCAGGATACTTCTGTTTGTAAAGGGCCAGATTCTAATCATAACTCTGATGCAAACATTGGAACTGGTTTTCATGAAATAGAGGAAAAAAAAAGCATGTACTAATTGCTAAAAATAACAAGGTGAATTGTACACATGATGTGAATCAGCTGCAGAGTAGTGAGAAAATTGTTCCAGATTGTTCTGTGGATGAAAAGTCTGAAAATACCGAATCTTCAGACTGTGACATAAAACACAAATACGTCTGAGAACTGCAGTGAAAGAGTAATAGACCCAGGTATAACTTAAAGGCCTGAGACTGAAATTCATTCTGAACTTTAATTTGTATAATTTAAAATTACTATGTGGTTAATTTGTGTATAACTTGTACATAGTGTAAATATTTGTTTCTATAGTTATGTTATTTGTTTGTTTTATTACGTTTTGTTTGTATCGAATTTGGCTTCTGACCAAGGATTGTACTGCCCGAGATGAGCAGTCCTAGGGAGGGAGTAGTATTACGAGATGTCCACCACGTGGTAAAATAGCTTTTCAGCAAAACAGGTTTCGAGTTGCCATAAAATGGCAAGGAGAGGCAGGCAGGGTTGCCAGATTTGGTGCAAAATTGGTGATATGCCATTCATGCATAGAGAACCTTCTAGAATGAATTCTTACCGGTTTGGCCCAGAATGTTCTCGAAAGCAGCTCAAAAGCTATATAAACCCTGCCTGTATGCAGAGTAGTGATAAGTATTTTGAATAGTATCTCGTAGTTTATCAAGTTGATCGTCGGTCTGTTGTTGAGTTGGTCATTGACTGTATCGTGAGTTGGTGCATCAAGAGAGTTGGTTCTTAAAATCTGTAACATTAGAGCAACAAAAGCTTTGAAATGAAAAAAATATATTTGCCGGTTAGTAGCAAAATATTGTTGCTAAGCCCAGATTATGCTAAGTAATGAATTTAGATAAACTATGAATTTTAATGAAGTGATTACTGTTAATAAATGAATTCATTAATAGTAATTAGGAGATTAATTAATATTAATAAACTGATTTGTACTTATTTTAATTTTCTATTAGATTTTTAAGCTTTTTTTGTTTGCTTATGATTTTGAAGCTATAATTTTAAAAAAAATTTGGCTCCAAAATTTACATAAGTTTTTATTTTTTGTGTACTAGATTGCTTATATTTACATATTTTTCTCTCAATCTGCACTTTTTTTTTTCTTTCAAATCTGCTCAAAATAATATTTTTATGCTATTTTTAATTTGTTTATATTTTTGATGAAAATCTTGCAATCTTTTTAAATTTGTTTATACTTTTCATGCTGTTATTTTCAGTTCCGTACTCAGCTTGTAGGGGTTGGACTGATCAAGACACATATTGCTTTGTTTTTCTGAGATTATTTTAAATTTTAAACTTTAATTTGTGTCTTTATTGGTTCAGAAATAGACTGTTTTATTTACTTCTTTCATTACATCAACTGCCTGATGATGATGCAGTGAAAAATGTAAATTTTTTATTTCATTTTTGTTTTGGGCATGTTTTGCCCTCTTTTTCTTCTAGTTTACCATTGTGCATCTGGTTTTTGGTTTTTGAACATGGTTTATTCCAAATTGAATTAGAGTTTAATTTTAAATGTATTTTAATTTATTTTGCACTATTACCAACACTTGTTGCTGCTTTCAGTGCACAATTGGATTAGGTTCTTAACTGCTTTTTATTTATTTATATACCTGGTGGCCATAATTAAACTGACAGTGCTCACAGTGTTCTGTAGCGCGATTTATTTGCAAAAATGACGCCACATTTTGTAGGAAGATTAAACAAGACAGGGGACGAAGGATCCGCCAAAAAAACAAATTAGTTCCAAAAGTCACCACTAGGGCAATATTTGGCACTGTGTAATAGAAAATAGAATGTTAACAAATGCAAATCAATACAGAAATTACCTTTTATTTTGCATTCAAATGAGGTTCAATGTGGCTGCCATTGTTGTGGACCACATATTGCATTCTGTGCACAATATGCACAACAGCAGAAAGTAACATGTCTGCAGGAATCTCCCGTACAGTCCGTGATATGTTATCCTTCAACGTAGCGAGGTCCTGGACCACTCCTTGATAGACCTTGGACTTAAGGTAATCCCATAGCTAGAAGTCGCATGGGGTAAGATCAGGGGATTAAGGTGGCCATGCAGTTGGAAATGAGCGGCTAATGACTTTTTCTGTTGTGAATTTCTGTCGTAGCATCTGTTGCACCCATACAACAACGTGTGGAGGGGCTCCATCTTGCATGAAAATGATTTCCCCCAGGCATTGTCTGTGCTGAATTGTTGAATGACAAAGCTCTTCAACATGTGGCGATATTTCTCTCTGGTAACAGAACAGGTTTCCGGTCCTGTTGGGGTAATGTTCTCATAGAAGAATGGACCTACAATAAATTCTGCTGTGAACCCACACCAAACAGTTACCTTTGGTGAATGTAAGGGAATTGCTGTGACTGCATGTGGTGGTTTGTCATCCCAAATTCGGCAGTTCTGGGTATTAACAGTTCCATTCAGGTAAAAGTGGGCCTCGTCTCCCCATAAGATTTTCCACGGCCAAGCATCATCCACCTCCATTCTGGCAAGAAAGGTGAGAGCGAAAGTCAGTCGCTTATCATGGTCGGGGTACAGTAACTCCTGTACGCGGCTGATCTTGTATGGATAGAAGTTGATGATCTTTCGTAAGATTTTCCATACCCTACTGTAAGGCATTTTCATATTCCGAGCTTCTCCACGAACACTAGAGGTGGCAGCAATATTGTCTGGTCCTCTGTCGACAATCGCCGTGGCAACTGCTTCGATTGTATCCTGTGGTACAGGTTTTCGTCCTCTGCCTGACTGAACCTTCAGAGAACCTGTTTTCTCAAACGTCGCAACCATTGCTTTTAGCCTATTAACTGACACAGGACTGTTACCTTTACACATTTTTTTGTTTTTTTTTTACGTTCTAAAAGCACGTAGAGTGGCTGACGCGTTGCACTGGTTGACGTAAAAGAATTTGACCAGTAACGCACGCTCAACTAAAGAAGGAGACATTGCACATAAACTTTCAATCCGATTGATTCAAAACGTAACACATTGTCTTTTAAAACCCAAGCAGCTGGCACTGTGTGAATGTATGTAATGTGAAATTTGAATAAAGAACTTCTTCTGCTGCTCAGCGTACGTGATATTGCAGATCACAAGACTTTATCAGAGTTTATGTAGATTTTACGCTTTTTTAAAAGTGTTGCCATATTGCACTTTAACTAAATCAGAAAATGTGCATGATAAAAGGTAATTTTATTTGGTAATAATTTGCATTTGTTAACACTCTATTTTCTATTACACAGCGCCAAATATTCCCCTAGTGGGGACTTTTGAAACTAATTTGTTTTTTCGCGAAATCCTTCGGCCACCGTCTTGTTTAATCTTCCTACAAAATGTGGCATCATTCTCGCAAATAGATCGCGCTACAGAATACTTTGAGCACTAATTATGGCCACCTGGTATATAGAATTTGGACACAAGAATTTGTGAATATCAGTGCCTTATGGAAATATTTGGGTATCCTGTAGGCATATATATGTATGTAATTAACACAAATTATAACTATCCAAGTAATGTTTAATTATTGATTTTGGTATTTTAGGCTCACATGGCTCTGGAGAGACTGATGAAACATACACACCCTTAATAGCTTGGGGAGCTGGAATAAGAGGACCTCTTGGTGAAGGAAAAGATTTTTATCATGATGGCCTTTCAGCAGGTGATAATTTCTTTAATTTTTAGTTTTAAAAATATAGCTCTCCTGATTCATTTGAAATATTAACATAAATGTTATTTTATATTTCTTCAGACATAATTTTATATTATTTAGGTCCTAGCTATATATGCAGTTAATGGTAGGTGTAACCAAAACTGCAATACAGAAATACTAAGCAGATTATATTCCTATCATTGACATATTCAATTTGCAGTACTTTTCAAAGTGAGTATTAATCCCTTCAACAAATCTAGAATCTCATTAACATGCTGTAAAGTGTCACAGATAGCAACCAAAGAGATCAAAATATCAAATAAAATCACATTCCACATCATAACACGTTGTCCTCAGGCTGTGTAACAGACAACAGACAAATGAGTAACACCATTGCTCTGGATATCACCAGACATATCTTCAGTCATCTAGCTCTTTATAATTCTTTTAATAATATGTGCAGTCAAAAGTCATTAAACCGGACTCGTCGGGACTTCGGCAATTCCGGATTATCAATTTTTCCGGATTATAGATCATCAGTTTAAATCTGGTAAGATGGCGTGCAGAAATTATAAAATTAAAAATATGAAACCGTAATTTATGAAATAAAGAACAATTATGATCTAAAGGGTATCGAAATTTACAAAAAAAAAAAGCTTAATATTTATTTGTTTACTTTATTAAACATTTCTTTCAATGTAAGTTGTTTAAGTTGCTTCATTTTTTATGTGATAATACTTTCTCTTTAATTCTATAAACAGACATAATTTCTTGTTCAGTTACATAGTTTCGCTGTTCAAGTCCTATAATTGCTGCGTCAAAAAAACACTAATTTGTCATTCGAAATTTTTTCTTTTTCAATAACCTCTGTGTCTCTTTCTTCGCTATCGGAAGTGAATTATAATGACGAGGAATTTGATTTAAATCATATCAAAGACGGAGTACATCGAGATGAAATACTACATTTAGTAAGGAATTATAAGCCAAATAAAATAAAAACATCTGCCCTGAAGATAAGGATAGTGCTGACGGATCAACTTCCAATTCATTGTGTGCCGCGCAGAGCAGCGTGAAATTGATAAACAGATTTCGGAATGGTTAGATAAGCAAAGTATATGACTTTATCCATTTTTTTGCAGCAATTCTACTTTTTGTTTAATGTACTTCGAAACATACTTTCGCTTTGTAGATCCTTTACATATTAGTAATTATATATCAGAAATTCTATTTGATATAATCGAAATTTCAGGCTTACTTTTATAAAATTGCTCTAACAATCTGCAAAAAAATAATAAGCCGGATCCAATTTGAAGATTAAGGAACAACGCAATTTGCAACATTAACTGAATTAGATAATTTTAGCTTCACTTATGCCATCCGTTATACATTAAACGCGCATTCGTAAACGTATTTTGCGCATGCGCACACACATATTCGCAACCGTAAAGGTCTTGCGCGCATGCGTCATGTTTTTGCGTGATATCTGTACGTAAGGACAGAATAAAAGACTCTTTTCCTCCAATAAAACTAAAAAACTGCTTTAAAATGAATTCTAAAGAGAATTTTTCGTGGCGTCTGTACAAACGTATGTACGTACATGCATATGTATCTCGCATAACTCAAAAACGAGTAGCCTCAGAACGTTGAAATTTTGTGTATAGGACTACTATAACATGTAGATGTGCACCTCTTATTTTGGTTTCAGTCGGCTGCGCCAAACGTATATAAATATATTTATAAATATATCCACTCTGTTACCTGGCTCAGTGATCTCAGTTTCTTTACTCTTATATGTTTGTAAATTGTACATTTTTTTCTTTAAAAATGATTGAATTATGTTGTTTTTATCTTCCGGTTAAGGGTTTTATGCCTTTAGTAAATATGCAATATTTTTAGAATTATCAACAATTTAAAAGATGTTTAATTTGTTGATAATTTTAAAAATATCGCAGCTAAGCCTATTTTAATGGCTGCCATTGCTTGTTTGCATTTGAAACAGCTGAGTAGTGAATTTGTTGCCAATCTAGAGAAACGTAGCTTCGCAACAACAAAGATAAACGCCTTCATTTATTATTGCGATTTAAATCATGCTTAATCCTTTCTGGAATTTTTTCGAGGAAATAAGTTTTTAAGATTTACTTTACTTAATTTTAATAATTAGTATTTAATTTTTTAATAATAGTAATTTTTAGTACAGATATTTTGAGTTTTTATGTATTTTTGCCTTGTTCCAAAGTGAGAACTGAATTAATTGAATGAGAAATACTCAATCGTCTGTGAAAAACTGTTTCTTTTTTGTTTTGTTTGCTTAATTTCTTTTATAATTCGTTCTAGCTTTATTATAGTACTTGAATAGAACATGTAGCAACGATTAGATAATTCTTTAAATGATACAAATTTTGTGCATTCTGAGTTATAATATGAACAAATTATAATACTGTTAAGTGAACCTAGCGCCAGATATAATACTGTGTCGCTATGGTAAACAAATAGAGTGAATTTTAAAGAATGCACTTATTCTATTGTGGTTTATGAGCTGTCGGCAAAGTAGATATAATTAAATCCAATAAGTTTAAACGAAATGCAAGAAAAAATGGGTATAATTTAATATTCCGTACAAGGAAGTCATGTGGTGTACACATCAGATTTTTATTGTGTAATTATCAAAATTCTAAAGCTTTGAATTTTATATATAACAGCACAGTTGGTAGATGATTCCATCAGTTGAGCATAAAAGCTGAATGTCTTAAAGGCAGTGTAGCTGTTCATCTTATGGTAAATAAATAAAATAAATATTTGGCGACAAAATTGGCAATGTGCCTAGAACGCCGTTTTCTCAGGAATATTCTTGAAGGTAGATCTATATGCCCTGCCTGTATGCAGAAATAAGTAGTGTCTTAAGTTCAGAGATTAGTAATGTGGTAAGTTCAGCGATTACCTTGAGAGCAATTGACCAAATAGATAGCTGTACTTTAATGCTTTGCCGTGAAGCTGTCTTCACTATTATAGCCTGAAGGCTGTGTTGCTTATTGTTTCAGCGTGTTTATCATAGTTTTTCCCCTACTGTAAATGTGTTTTTTGAACCGTCTTGTGTAATAGTGCTTAGTGGCGAATAAATTGTGCTTTGATTCTTCATTAAGTGTTATCATCAATTACTCCAAATCCATGAACCCGAAGAATGCAACAATATCTTCATTGTTCATTGGACCTCATTTCAAAGCAGTACACATTGCTGAAAATAATTCTCCTCCAGTCCACGAAATCCTAGGATGAGTGTGCCCTGTACCACTGCAAAGGTGCCTGGTGATGTGCAACAGTGAAGAGCAATGGCCTCCATGATCTCAACTCCCAGTCACTGAGTCACCTATCAATAGTTATTGCAGTCACTGATATCCCAGTTATACATTAGATCATTGGGACACATCAAAAGCTGCAAATACCGGTCGCATAAACAATTGCATTCTATGATCACTCTCGGTCGGCTGCGACCCTCTTGACTCTCTATATGGCTAGGGTTCACCCATTGCTGCCATCATCATCAAATGGTGACATTTCTTCAACCCAGATGTCTAGCAATCCTATGATTTGATCATCTTGCTTCCTTGTCCAATTGCATGTCCTCTTTCAAATGATGACATATGCTCATACAGTTCACGAACCCATCTGTACGGCATTGGTATTGTCCCATGGGTTGTTTTAATCACATTTGCATGGAAGTTATGCCTTATCTTTGGAATGTCTTGTTGTTTTACACACCATCTGATTGTTGTGTTGTAATATGCTAGAGCTCCAGCTAATCATTCATTGGCTACCAAAAGTTAATCATTTGCATATTCTAGTGTGAAGTAGAGAGAACATCTAATGTAAAGTACAGAGTTCTAAGAAGCAGTGGAGCAAAGTTTCTTATATCAAGAGTATGTACTGAATATCAGCATCTAATGTTGAGTTTTAATTATTTTTAAAGCTATGTATGTGAAGTACAGAGAACACCTAGTGTAAAGTACCGAGTTCTAAGAAGCAGGGCAGCAAAGTTTCTTATATTAAGAGCATGTACTGAATATCAACATCTAATATTGAATTTTAATTATTTTTAAAGCTATGTTTTCTTAAAAGCTATTCTTTTAGCTGTCAATCTACTGATTTCATTCTGAATTCTAATCATACTGTAATTTAACTCTTGGTATATTAGCCTGTATAATCTTTGATTAGATTAGCTTATTTTTAAATTATTTATTTTTCTCCCTTTTAGCATCTAATTTTGGGGTCCTACTTGTACTATACAAAGTGAAGATTGTAATTCCTTATTATGTATTAATAAAGAGGCTAAATTGAGCACTAAGTGTATAATGTCATGTATTGTTCTTAATAGTATATCATATCCATATATATGTATTGAGTTGGCAAGAAACTAATTTCAGTTTGCACAAATAGATAGTGTGATGTTTGTTTTGTTGTTCTTTTGTCAATTTTATAAACTTTTTTTTTTTTCTTTTGAGGTATAGCAGCTGACACTTAGGTTGCTGTAGAAACAAATTCTGTGTATTTTTGTTTCCAACTTTTAGTTTATGGTTAGTTTTAACATGAGGTACAAAAATTAATGTTTTCGACATATTTTACTTTTTTATTTTCACAAAGGCAAGAAAATGGCTGAGACTTACAAAGATATATGTGAAGTTTATGGTATCGGTTGCTTATCGAAACGCATGTGTCAGAATTGGTTTAAAAAATTTTATTCCGAAGATTTTTCACTTGAAGATGATTTGTGGCCGACCTTCTAAAATTGTTGATGAGAAAATTAAAGCCATAACTGAATTAAATAATTATATAACTATGTGGGAAGCTGTAAAATGTTTAAATGTATCACACACAGTGAATGAAAATAATGAGATGTCTTGAACTAAGAATTTTTTGGGTTCCACATGAACTGAAAGAAATTCACATAACACAACGAATCAATACCTCCAATATGCATTTTAAAAGTAATGCAATTGATCCTTTTTTAAAACAAATTATCTCTGGTGAGGTAAAATAGATCGTATACAATGACATTAATAAAAAAATGTCATTGTCCCATGCTATCGGTGCTGTGTATTTTAAGCTGCTTCCAAGCAGCCAAACAATCCATTCAGATGTTTACTGTCAACCACTTATGAAACTGGAGGAAGCAGGCAAAGAGAAAAGGCCAGTATTTGCAAACTGCAAAGGAATCATATTCCGCCATAATAATGCGAGGCTTCACACAACTTTAGCAATGCGTACCAAATAATTGGAGCTTCATTAGAGAGTGATATATATAGCCCCTACATTGCACCATTGGATTATCATTTATCTTAGTTTACGAAACTTCTTAAATGGTAAAAATTTTAATAGTAACAAAAATCTCAAATTTTACTTGGTTGAGTTTTTGCAGGTAAAGTTCTACGAGCATGAAATCATGAAGTTGCCAGAAAGATGTCATTTAACAAAATGGAAGATATTTGACTGAATAAAGTTCACATTTTTGTATAGAAAAAAATTGAGTTTCAGTTCCATCTAAAAAATTGAAATTGCTTTCTTGCCAACCCGATATATTGGTTGTTACATCTTTCATCATTATATTTCATGTATTGGTCATTCTTGAACACTAAGCGTATAATGGCCATGTTACAAAGGTCATATACTGGCATGGTCTTAATTTATTCTCTTTTACAGAATGGAAACTCTCCCAAGTTAAAAGAGTTGATGTTAATCAAGTTGACATAGCTCCCTTTATCTCTGCATTAATTGGCATTTCATTTCCTGTTAACTCTATGGTAAATACTTTTAATCTAGATTTTTTAATCAGTAGAAAGAGGCAAAAAATTACAAGCTCAGATTTATAAGCTGTATCATGTGTTAAATTGTAAGCTATATGTGTTTAATTCTAATACTAAACTTTTCTTACTAGCTAATAATATATAATATGTTTAAATCAGAATTTGTGTGTTAGCTGAGAATAATACAGAGGCTGTTTGCACATTTTTTAGATGATTTTGCTATTAAAAGAAAAATCATCTGCTTGTAAATTTTAACTGCAGCTATATTTTTGAAAGTATAAATTATTATCTTCTATCTGATAGTTTCATTTTCATGCAAAAAATGATGCTTGTTAAAGAAGCTATGGATGGAAAACTATGTTTGTGCTCTTTCTGAAGAAAATTATTTGTGTCTAGTTATTAAAAAATGCCATGAAAGCCATGGTTTCTTGATATAAGCTGTAACAGGTAATATTGTCGACCAAAAAAAAGAAAAAAGCATCAAAATTTGGCTTTAAGGGGGAAAATTGTTCCAAATACATACCCAAGGAAAAAACGGAATGTTGCATTGGTAAGCTATTTAATGCTAAAAGAAACTATGCCGAGTCAATAGACAGTTGCAAAGTCTGCTCAGTATCTATCAACTGTAAAAGAAGTGATTAATGCTGATTTGAATCTTTAAAAAGCAAAAAATTGAATATCCATTGTCTTTCTGTATGATAAATTGCTAAATGCAGAACATGCTACGGAATTCTTTATGGGAAACATTTATCCGGACAAAAATGGGAATTGTTACAGTAGATAAATTTTGGGTGTATTTAAATGACTGCAATAAAAAGATATCCATTTATTTATCATCAAAAAAGAGAAAAAATCTTAAAACATGGTACAAATTCTGAAAGAAAGTTTTTTAAAGGGATTTATGATTGTTGCTGATTTTTCATATAACTTCAAATTAAAAATAAAGAGAATGGAGAAAAATGTTTACATAAGCTCCACATACTATCAAGAACATATTTTATACCCAATTTTCAAGTATGAAATATGTTCTCTTTAGCCACAGTGCCATCAATCAGTAAAATTGCATTAAGGCAAAGCTAGCAGCCACACGTCAAAATCCTTTCTTAATTTCTGAGAAAATATTAAACAAGAAACAGGAGTAATGGCCATACCCTTCATTCATTTATCTACTAAATCCCTGATGTCTATGGATTTTTTGCGTTTTTGGGCTTAAGATTGCCCAGATGTCAACCTACAACCTTCCTTAGAGTTTGGAAAGCTGTTAAAGAAGAATGGGATAAAATACCTCCTCTGATACTATAAACAGCTTTATTGTCTTGGGAATTATGATGTAAAAGATAATGAAGATTAACAATTATCAAATAGAACATTTAAAATGCAAAAATGTTAGGGAAAATATTTCTGTAAATACTATGAAAATTGTCTAAAACGTGTGCGAACAGCCTCTGTAACTTTATGTATATTTCAGACGTAAAGCATTTAAAAAATGTTTTGATTATCTGCACACCCACCAAAGACTTTGGTGGTGACTTTGAAGAGTATTCAGAAACTCACTGATGACTAATTTTTCATCAAACTAATATGTAAAGCAACGGTCATTTTGAAAATGGTGCGGCATTAAGAATTCTATATGAGAGTAATCATTAAAATTTAAAAAGCAGTAAATATTGGTAATTAAACACTTTTTTTATTCGAAAATCCTCCTTTTCTGTGTTGTTCTCCTCATGTACACAGCAATCTGCTTTTTCTTAACCTCTCAAAGCCGGCTGGTACAGTAGTTGTACCAGGAGAATGACTTTCTCAGACGCCGGCATTGGTACAACTGTCGTACCATCCATGCCCTCCCCATTTTAGAGAATCGCCTATCTGTAGATCTTTGGGTGGTCCATTGTCGCTGCTCAGAGTAGCCGCTGGCTACGCATTATTTCCCTCTTCTTATCAGTTTGGCTACATTTTGGCAAAAACCGCAGGTTTCGTCTTGCGCCAATATACTTGAAAATTAAATAGAGGCCTCATCTAAATTGAGGTCTTTCTCAATCTGTCTCATAATTTTAATGCTAATTTTTTTAGTACTGACTTTTGCTATGATTAAAACGTCAGAAATTTTGCACGCTCTTTAAGCTTACCATATTTAATGTTTTTTAATCATAACAAATAAGAATAGATTAATATTTTAGATTTAATGCCCTTCTAGAAAAAAAACCGCTTTTATCGTTTACTTCCTTTTCATACTTATGAATAATAAGATTTTATTTTGACATTTTTTTGTTAAGTGCATAAAACCCTTAAGAACTGTTAACTCTTTCAAAGTGCTTCTATTATGCAGGCAATAAATAAGAGATAATTGTATGCATAGTAGTTTTTGTGATTTTCATTCATTCAGTGATTGCTTTCAATGATTTTCATTGATTGTAAATTAAATAAAATCAATTTATCTTTAGACCCTCTTTTAGGATGAGATCTGCCAAAAAGTATTTAAATATCAGTAAAGCTCATGTTACTTCTAAATTGAATCAAAACATCAGTTACATTGTATAAAATTTCGGCCAGTTTTATTTGCTGAAATTCTTATACTCCTCAAGAGATAAAGGGAATTTAGGCAAGTTGATAAAAAAAATATCTTTAAAAAAGGTTGTTATATTGTCTGTAATAAGGTGTATGTCAACTTACTATTAAATGTATGAAAATTAAGATTGGATTACGGAAAAGCACGCGAACGCTATCTGCTTAAGGGGATGGATGCTTTCGTGTAAACCTTTTTAAGAGAAAATTGCTCGCATTTACGTTTCTGATGGAAAACTGCACATGTAATCAACCCGTTCTTCGGTATTGATTGGATTAATTTTGTTCGCTTACTGAATTACATCAAAGCACACAACAATTACCTGTATAAGTGGAGTTATGCCTTCGCGGAGGACTTTCTAAGAGAAGCTGGCTTGCATTTACGTTACACAAAAACCGTGAATCCAACTATTTATCCAGGATTCAAACCCAAGCCAGCTACAAGTGTTCAGCCACCTTTACCGCTGTACTGAAGAGCCCGTAAAAATATTGATAAAGGAAAAGTATTGAAATAACCGGTTTAATTTACTAACCTATATTTCTCAATCGACAGTACATAAATTACGCATATGAGGGGGATTATTTGTGAATAAATAAATTGTATTGTACTTTCTCCACTATTTCATATTACGATGGAAATATTGCATTTCAAAGTTATTTCTCATGAATGAATTTTGCTCTTCATGATTTTTGATATTTCAAAGAGAAATTCCACACTTTAAATAAAAAAATACATGAGAAGATACTTTATGCAAAATTGGCATATAAACGGTTTTCTTAATTTGCTTTGAAAATATTCCAGGGTAATCGTTTTCATTAATGGAAGAAATATGAAAAACAGATTTACTACATTGTGTCAAAACCCAATATTTCCTTATTCTTTTGAAAAACGTGAAAGATTACTCTTCTAAAATAAATTAGAAAATATATTATGTGCAAATAGAATATTCGTTGAAAATGAAATAGACTTCAACGTTTGGATATAACGATGGTTTTAGACGAAATTTCTACCTATGAAAAGAAATTGACGTATAATTAATTTTTCATAAACATTTAAAACTGTTCTCAAAATTCTTTTGATGATTGCATGTATAAGTCACGGATTTTTTTCTCTGCTAACATAAACAAAAGCAAATTTTACAAAGAAAAATGCTCGTTAAAGATATACCTTCTTTGCCTGATAGTCCAATGTAATATTTGTTAAAGTTAAATGATTAAACGCAACCAATGTATCTCGGATTTTGATTTTTATATCATAATAACAAAATTATCAAAAAAAGCAGATTTAAATCTCTGTTATTGTTATGTAAAGCTTTATTATTGCTGTAAGTTCATCTCAAAATCTAATTGTATTGAATCTCATTCTAATCATCTAATGGTAATAATATATTATTATAATATTTCATTAAATTAGTCTTACCATTATTTTATTAATGAAAAATATGTTATTAAAAAATCGCATTCCAGCCTGCAGACTTACAAATCTAGTCTGTATTTACTATATTTTGTTAAATTTTGTTCTCGCTTTCTAATTTCTAATATGAAAATACGCGAATATAAATGAAGAGTGAAAACAAAGTTAAAAAATTCACAAATTATTTACGAGATTGATTAGAAATAGTGAGTGAAATATAAACATTGCATACATTTTGTTCTAAATAAAGTGTGCACTGGATATGCATCCAGTACTGCATATTTATTTATGCACTATTTATTTAGAACTTCATTTAAATGAAAGCAAAATAATCATCGAAAAAATTGCAAATCTAGCAACCCCTCTACTATGGGACGTAAGCGTCCGACAAACATGTAAATTTTACTTCATCCATGGAGGGGAACTAACGACTTTTCTCATTAAGAAAATGTCAAAGAGGGGGCAAAACTGTTTCGGATTGCACCAGTCTGAAGGCTATATTATGAGAATTTCAGCCCAGTTTTAGAAGGTTAAAAAACATCAGAGAATGGCACAACTTAACATCCATACAGTTTGGCATTGCACACGAGCCGTAATAGATATGTGCTGTATACTGCTGGGGAAAAAAGGGGGGACAGTTCTATATCTCTCATTCTACTAGGCCGATTGACAAAATTCAACTTATGTTTTTCATGTCTCGAAAGCGTGAAGTATGATATGTATTAGATTTATATATAGCATTGTTCTAATATAGGTATTTTGACACAAAATCTGACTTTTTCTGAAATGACATGCCATATTTTTCCCACATTTCGATTCTATGACTCAAATTATGCCAAATTGCCAAATTTTGTAAAAATTGCATGAGTAGTTTTTGAAAAAGTAGCTCTCAAAATTTTAGCTCCTCAATGTTTATTGAATTTGGTATATATTTATTATTCTCTTTTTTTTATTAAACATATTTGATTCTTCCTTTCACATTTTGAAATTTAGATTCATTCCAAATAAAATTTGGCCATTT